AACCCCCAAAAAAAAATAGGTTTCATACCAAACTTTATACATGTGAAAGAGGTTTCATAGGAAAACAACACTGCACGATTTCTTTCTATCTATTTTCTGTACAACGATTGAAACTATGCAGTGTTGTTTTCCTATGAAACCTCTTTCACATGTATAAAGTTTGGTATGAAACCTATTTTTTTTTGAGAGTATAATCAAAATCCATAACATGTAATAGACCAATAATGGCAATATACTTTACTCTATAAATTAAATAATTTGTTGTGTCATTTTTCGATGATATGATGATTTCATTTTCTTGATATTCATTTATATCGATTATGTTGAATATGACCAATTTTTCAAACTGAATACAGAATAAACCCTATCATTTCAAGTAACACAAGTATCTCCGATATCATACTCTACATACAAACAATTGTGAATGGTTATTGTCGATTGTTTCCAGTGTCAATGAATAAAATACTTTTTTCTTGTTATTAAGTGGTTGCTTTAATGCCAGTTTATTTTCTGAAACTGTAAATACAACACCGTCTAATATCTAAGTCAATGTTTGATTGAGATTATCTTTAAATACGCTTATTGTGCCCAATATCATAATTATTGGCATATTTACAGGAATGAATTGTACTACAACAGCAATAACAATGATGAAAACAACTAAGTATCATTAAATTATACTGATCATAGTACTTAGGATTAGATTACACAATGTTTCATTTTCATCTATGAAGACAATTTTTAGAGCAACATTTTTCAATGCCTGATCAATTATGGAAACAGTAATATTCGCAATAATATGTATCGACTTTTCTTTTTGTTTCGTTGTAGCTATGAAACCCTTTAAATAGTTTCGTAATTAGAAAACGGTTTCATGGAAACGTACCAAACTCTCATTGGTTTGATACGAAGCCGTTCCGAGGTTTCATACGGAACCGTATGAGTCACCGATTTTTTTGATTAGTTGCAGGATTTTGTACAAAACCCTGAAAAGGTTTCATGGATTGGTCTTTTGAAAACGTAAGTTTGTACAAAACTCTTCCGACCAATCAAAAAAATTGGCGACCATATAAAGGTTTTCGCAGCTGCTAGGAAAAACGGTTTCGAAAACTATAGAGTTTAGAGAAGCGAAACTGTTTCTAAACCCTTCAACAGAAAAAATATTTAGTATGAAACCTATTTTTTTGAGAGTATAATTCAGTAAACATTTTTTATCTACTATTCTCCTTATTTAATCACAACTACAATAATGTACTCAACGTGTTCTGTATGTTCTAACTGCTGTATGAGGCAGTCAGCTCTAATTTCTCTTTTTCCATCTTTTGACAGTTTTCTTCAGACGAAAAATTATCAATATTCTGCACAATAATCAATGCGATAACAAAAGCCAAAGATTTATTAACTTGTAGTACTAACACAACAGCATATCAAACCATAGACGAATTGAATAGAGTATTTCCTGTAAACTTTACAAATTTATCAACATTCATCGTCATATTATCGGACAATAACACACTAAACGCTACACAACGGCGAATATCTACGATTAGCGTTAAATATAAAATAAACAATAAAACAATCGTTAACCAGGTATTAACTTTCCCGTATATATCTTATCATTTTCTTTTTTTTCTGTTTCTCTAACTCTTTTTGATGATCATATGATTTATTTGTACACATAAACACCCCCGTATTTATTTTATATTGTTGGGGATACTATTGTTGATGTTTTGCTTTCAATATCACCTGTTAAAATTGTTTACAAGAATATTTTATTATTTTAAGTTACTAAAGTACTTGATCAATTTGATATTGAAGAAAATCGAATCTATAGCTTGTGATTACTAACTAATCTTTACCGATTTAAAATAATTTATATTTGAGTTTAGTGTATAGTCTGAAATAGAGAATGAAATAATAGATAGTAATTGATCTCTCGTTTAATAAATTACATTTATGTCTCTCGCTATTATAATTCATTATCAATTTTTCATTTTAGTTATTACTATACAATAATCTTATTCCTCCAAATGTATTCAAATGCAACAAGTTTTATGTTTATTTAACAATTTATACATTCGATTTAAGACCAAATGAAATATGTATTATTCGTCAAATATTTCCTATATTTGTTTTTAATGTACTATCAAATCTTGAACTAGTACGTGCTCTATTTAATAAAAAACAACAACATAACAAGACATTGTCCAATACTCAAATTGAACAATTTCAAGTGAGTTCAAATTTTAATTTATTGTTGAATCAGACATATATATTACATTTATTAAACTGTTCCAATCATGCATTCTCGTTGAATTTTAATATTGGTATCATCATAATAAATCATCGATTGAATATATTAACTTTATCAAAAAATGTAAATAATGAAATAATTTTATTAATTAATATTACGTTAACACATTCGACGAAACATTTCATTTATCAGAATATTCATTCGTTTATAGTTTTATATCATCCAACGATCGTATCAGAGAATGTTGATACACGTAGAAATATCAATTATAAAATTGAATTATATTTAGTGGACAGAAGGTATTGGCAATAAGTAATTGTGAAAAGTTGTTTTATGTTTCAAATATAGAGTAATAAATCAGTTTAAACACTTTATTTTTAGATGAGACAAATTTCTTTAGTTTGTGTATAATTGAAACAATAATTTCATTATTTAACGAATATTCTATTGTTTTCTTTAGTTTGTCCTACGTCAAATACAATTTTAATTATCTTGTTTGGGATTGTTGGCGAAATGATCATTGTCTAAATTATCTCTATACTCAGAGAGAAATAAATTTGGTAAATAGCTTAAGTAATAATAAATATCAATGTACTGTATACGAGTTGTCTGCTTCTTTCTGGAAATGTGTCCGGACAACAAATACGGCGTAAGTATTAACTACACTTATAGAACAGTAAAAACTGAATCTAATGAAACATTACATTAGTAGCTGAATATTTTAATCTAGTAATACACTACTTATCTATCCTCTTCTCTTTCTCTCTCCATTTCAGTAGCTATTCGTGTGTCCTCAAGGAAAATTTTCAGTATTTGGTATTTGATTTTCTCTATGACGTGTCGAAATATGTCGAAGTAATCGATTTACTTCTGCACAATAGATTACATAATTTTATCAACCAATGCATACTACCACATTTACAACCATCAAGCAATAAAGCAAATTTTAGCACGTATGAGCCGAACATCGTAGATCCGTATGAATATGATCGAGTTAAATTGTTATCGATGAATGTATTGGATACCAATAATAACACCGTTAATATAACAAATGATGTCAATAGTACTTTTCAAACATATTATTATACAAAGTCATTTGGTAGGTTTATAGTGATCAAATATTAAATTAGAGTTATGAATATAGTGCAGCCGATACTTTGTTTCCATGAGATCTCCAGTAGTTTTCAACAGATCAATTTTCTTAGAGTTTATTTCAGTTCAATATTAGAATTTTATAAAAATTTGTACGTTTATTTAAGCATCTTGTCAATACTCCTGGTTTGATGGAACGTTACTATTGTGGCCGCTTTGGCTCATATTCACATGTAAGATTCATTCATTTCTGATAATATGAACGTTTCTCTATAAATGTGTATTTTGGTTTTAGTATCTTTTGCACTACTATTTGGCTCAGCATTTCTACCCCTATCATTCGAAAAACTTGGTCGACTAAGACATTCAACACCAAAGGTAAATTTTCTACTAAAGAAAGAAAAACTGGATTCGAATGATAACTGTTTATTTTCTTTTAGATTTTGAGAACTTCGGATCATGGTTCCATTGACAATTATTCGTCAATGTATGGTTTACTTTATATTTTTCTCTTGTCTTCTTGAATCGATTTCGAACCAGAGCTCCGTATGCACTCAAAATTCTCAGTCCTATCCAGTCCGAGTCTATGAAAAACCGTTGTGTCAGTCCAGTTCAGTCCATACGTAGCTCTGTTGAGTACTACTCGTATGGTAACTGTTACCTAGAACTGAAAATGAATCATATTATATTATTTTTATCTAATTCTAAAGTTATTATCCTTTTGTTTAGATCGAATTTAGTTAGCGCATCAATGACGAAAATCAGAAATATTTTTTCCACAAAAAATAGTTGCCTTTCTATAAGTTTTCGCAAGAATATTTATTATCAAAATCATGAAGCGTGTGAACAACGATTTTCAGGACATTATTTGAAACGAAAACGACAAGAAAATCAACAAACAACCTTAATGAACAAAAACCTTTTGAAGGATGAACTAGACTCTGGCTATTCATCATCGGGTAGTATCGACTCTGAAACTAACGATTATCAATCATATACGAAAAAAATCATTCAGCATCGTCCGTCTCAAATCACAGCCTATCCAGTCTACGATAATTCTACGATACAAGTACATTCTCAAGATGAAAACAATCAAATTGCCTCTTCAACCGATCGACACGGTGATATTGCTTCGACAGAAGATAGTTTATTAGTTCATATAGATGATAAACAACGACGAAAATCAGGTACGGATTCAATAATCTACAATCGACAACCACCAACAATAATTATGACTCGACCATCTAAGCAAGATAATGAACAACAGCAACAACGTTTATACATGCCAAAACGACATTATTCTCCTTCATCACTACAACGTTCGACACGGATGGATCATCGTCTGTCAAGAAAAGACAATTTGCCGTTGTCATCACCGTTAAAACCAATACTATCAAAAAGACGTTTAACAGAAGCTGATTTCTCAAGTACGAGAGGTTCAGTTGCCGCTCCGAGTGAAAGTCGACGAAGTATTTTTTCATCGAGTCTTGGAATAGAATCATCATCTCGATTAAATCAACCTCGAGTATTCGACGATAAAACCGTTGTATCATCATCGTTTCGAAATGAAAATACATCAAAGTTTTTAATAGGAACATTATGGAACACATTTGCTCTCGTTAACAATTTATTTTTACAAAAAGCTCGAAGAAGACGAGATGCCTTGACATCAGCTGATTTAAATCCAGATCAGTTAGAACATTTACAACGTTTAGCACAACTGGCAAATTATTACAATCAACAAGAAGAAACGGACTACGAAAATGATATTGATAATGTTTATCAGCAGCAAGATGAAAATACTACTCATGAATTAGAAACAATTATGCATGCACTTCAGCATCCTGGAACAGTTAATCTTGAAAGAATTCTTTCCGATTTACGGCATCCTATTAGACGATTTTCCTCAACAAGTACAACATCAAATCTCTTACCTAAACGGCAATCGGCCACGACATCCACAAATACCGACAAGGATGCAGTTTCAGAACATGTTCAAGGAAAGATGAGAACAATTCAAGTTCAAACAGATATTGAAGAAGAAACACAGCACAGGATCATGAAGCACGATCAAAATCAATTTTGCTGTTCGTGTCAAGGAATTCATAAAAACACCTGTATCTATTACGACGATTCAATACCACTCGATTCAGAAATTAGGATTTTGGAAAATCATGCGTCAAATATAACGAGTACTGTAAGTGTCGTGCATCAATCAACTCTCAATTCGGATCACTTGTCAAAAATCATAGCGGATATTCATCAGAATAAACAGCCATCGTATTCGAATAAGAAGACAATAATGAAAGACTCTGCAACAACGACAGATCCGTCAATAGAAGGCAATGGTGGAGTAAATGAACATTCAATTTATACAAACACCCTACTCAGGCGGAAAAGTGTCATAGATTTAGAAAAAATATCGAAACAATCGACATATTTAAATGTATCAACTCAATATAGTCCATCAGAAACCGACATTTCACCAGAGTTTATAATTTCAAAAGTGCCAGATCAAGATCGAATACGAATAAAGTATTCAAATGCAACGACGCAGTATAGCTCGTCAGACAAAGGAACTTCACCTATAGAATCAACAATTCTAACAAAATCCGTTATTTCTAAAACAACTTCAACTGATCAAAATGTTTCGGATCAGCGGGAAACGGTTTTTCAACAATTAAAACGAACAATATCAATACGTAATACACCATCTGAATACGATCTTCCACCAAAACATGTTACACAAACACAAGATGAAAATTTTGATTTTGAAAGTTCACATACAGTCCGAAGCCTTGTATCAATGTTTGAATTACCACAAACAAAATCTACTGACTTTCAGCAGAGGCGAAATTATAAGATCAAAAGTTCTCTTAATCTTAACAATCAATCGAGTAATGTTCATCGACAGCAAACGCCTATAATTGATGAATTTCCAAAAGAAAATTCATTAAGTCCACCTCTTGTTGTACCTCGTCGACAGCAAACACCACCGTCATTAATCTCAGATGTGAATGTAAAAGTAAATCCATTAATAATTGATAATTCGAATTTTGATCGACAAATGTTGATCAATCAATATGCAACAGAACTAACATCAGCAATGTTAGCAAATGTTATATTGACTATATCACGTAGTGAAAGTACCGATAATATTCAAACTAATGATCAATCAACCAACACCGATAATCGAACACCACGCTTTTCCTCTTATACAAATGGAAATGGAAAAGGTTTATTATTTCAAACTCATACATTTGTTCCAAATATTCACAAGTCAATCGTTGAAGAAGATGAAGATGTTGAAATTTCTACCAAAAATGATACAGACACAAATACACTTTTAGATACGGTTATTGAACAAACTGAAGTAAAATCATTTGATCATTCACAGCATACATTAATAGCTGGACGATATATCGATGGTACACGAAGTTCAGATGAAGAGCAAAAGCAACAAGTTAAAGAGAATGTAAATAATCAAGTTTTTTCTTCCACTCGATCATATTCGACTCGTATGAGAAATTCGGTCGATGATTCATGGCGTTTTCAATATGATAAATCGAGTTCAAGTGAAAATGAGCCAAGAGAAGTAAACGAATCTAATACTCTACAATATCTATCGAAGAGTCAACAATTTGCGGCTCATCGAATGTACGTTAAACCGTGGTTAAAACGGCGTATTAAATCAGTAGCACAGTCCTCTGTTCCTCCAGAAGTTTATAGTACAAATGTCATTGATAGTAAAATATCACCGACAACAGACAACGGTAATATTTTAGTTCAAAAACAATCGAAACATACAAAATCGTTTTATAATATTATTGAAGAAGAAACATTTGCTGATTTAAATACACGTTATGCATCGCTATTAACGATTGCCGTCTATGTTAAATCAGTTCAGAGACTACAATTATTAAAAGACGATGTAATGGTTATTTTACATTCACATTTGACTCGATTACATCAAATGTTTGAAAATAATATTGAAAAAATTGAACTACCATCACAAACGCAGGTACTTCATACAGTTAATGATAACGGTAATAAACGTTATAGAACGTCATTTATCGTTGATGTCAGTAATCCATCGTCAACTTTACATACGACTGGTAAAGTCATCTTGGCAAACGATGTCGAATGGAAAACGGTTAAAATAACTGTACGACGATTTCGAAAAAAATTTATTCCATTTCGTTTAGATACTGAATTTGATCATACAAATCAAATTTCATCTAAACTAAAATTAGCTGAATTAATTGAACTTCAACCCTACTTGAAACATTTTGATAATTTATCTCAGCATCGTGTACAAAAATATGCCGCTCACTATGCCGAAAAAATTTGAAGTATTCTTTCGTTTTGAAAATATTATATCTTATGTCTTTTCTATTCTCATTTTCATTCAATTAATAAGTAAGATTATTATCTCTCATAGTATATTTTGGTCTAATGATTGTCTTTGAAACCATACGATTTATTCAGAAAAAAATTACTTCAACAGAAAATAGTGTCATTTTTGTATAGTTTTACATTATATTCTTCTTTCTTTTGTCATGTATACATCTAAACGTCATTATTGTAGAGTTTATACTTCAATAGTTCAACACCTGCTTTTTGGAGTAAGATAAAAAAAGATCTGAATTAGAATTGATAACTTCTTGAAAAATAATTTGGGGGATATTTTAATGCTAAGAAAAATGAGTATTATTAATTCATTAAACAGAAAAGATGGCATCAATCATACAAAAATAAAAGCATAGTTTTTACTTTGATCGAAAAACGATAAAAAAAAAAACGAAAGAAATCACATCTTTTCGAATCGTACAATGAAAGCGATATTAAATAAGTTCTAGAGTAATCTCTGCTATTTTTTTTTTAAGTACGAAATATTCATTATATCATTTATGTGCGTCATTTTATAATTCTGTTTGAAGAAAACGAAAAATAGAAAACTGACCACTGACAAAAAACAGAAACATATACAAATTTCTCGCCCACACCAATAGAATTCATAAAGAGAAAAAGCGGCAGCACTATAAAATAACACCCAACAAATAAGCGTAACATAAAAAAATGAGATAGTTTATATACAGCATTCGTCCTATATATAGATAATTGAAAACAAGAAAAATATGGATAAATCTATTTCACCGAGTATGGAAATATTTTAAAGAAAAAAAAAACAAACAGATGCGAAAAAACAAAACAGAAAATAGATTTTAACAAAGCGATATATTTAATTCTGATATTATATTTGAGATCTGATAGATGCTGAATATCTGTTATATCAGATAAAACAGTAAGAGAAAGTAGAATAGAAGATCCAATTCAGATTCTTTAAAACATACAAGCAGCAGCATCTGACCAACAGCAACATTTTGAAAGAGAGAAACCGACATAACATTTCAATAGTAAGCAAAAACAGAACAAAGATAAGGGTATTAATCATATACAAATGAAAACGAGAATGACTAAGCTTATTTTTTGAAAAATATTTTGTCAATGTTTTTCAATAAACGATGTGTGCGTTTGTTCATATAAAAAAAAAGCTTAAGTTCTTTCAAATATAAAATGGGAAAAGAATAAGAAAGAAGGAAACTCTTCTTTCTTTTATTTTTTCATCATGAATAATAAAAATATAAACAAAAATTTTTAAGACAAAAATAAGGTTGCGTGAAACAAGAATAATACAAAATAAAATATGATGAACAAAGAAAGTGACGATCATACCACCATCGCTTTTCAGTTCCATCGGTTTTCATTTAACGATAGTTTTCATAAGATGACATTAACAGTTCACGTGCGTATCCTTCACTAATAAATTGTTTAAATTCTAAAAATAAAAATAAAACACAAATAGTGTGTATCATACCTGTTCTTAAAACTGCTTCTTTAGTCTCTCAGTATATAGTTCATCAAATAAAAGAACGGTGTCTAAGATGGCTATGACTTAAAAAAAAAAAACCCGAATCACAGCATTGTTCTCTTGGCTAACGAGGAAACCTTTCGAGATGTCCCGTTCCCATTTCAATGATTTGTACATGAACTGATAGACCTCAGTGAGGTTGTATGAGGTAAATACCATATCCTAAAAGAATTCGTGCCCATGACTCTGTAAGATCCGGTGTTCTGAAAACGAGTTTTTCAAGAACTCTAAAAAATAACCCAAACTTTTTTTTAATGAGGCATGATTGTAGTCCACAAATTTCTAATTAAAAATGAGATATGTTATAGCCAGAGATGCAACCGGAGCGGGCGCCCGTTCCCGGTCCGGTCCGGTGTTATTTGTATTTGTATCGGTATATTATATTCTGTCAACAGAATATTCGTTAAATTATGAAATTATTGTTTTAACTATACATACACTAAAGAAAATAGTATATTTATATCGAACAGAAAGCAAAAAACACCGGTCGCTTACCGGTCAAAGTTTTTGAAAAATGGCCGGTCAACCGGTCGGTCCGATCGCCACATTTATGCCGGTCACCGGTGATCGGTCGGTACTGGTCAAGATTTTGTTGACCGGTGGCATCTCTGCTACCAGCTCTACACGACCTTTCTTTGCAAAATTCTAGAATTTACAAGAAAAGCCCTAAATGTTCATTGTCAGCTCAAAGCTACAGAAATAAGAAGAAAGTAATTTAGGGCTTTTCTCGTAAATTCTATAACTTTGCAAAGAAAGGCCGTGTAGAATTGGGAGATGTCTCATTTTAATCAGAAATTTGCGGGCTACAATCATGCCTCATTAAGAAAAGTTTTAGTTACTTTTTAGTTCCTGAAAAACTGGTTTTTCAGAAAACCGGATCTTACGGAGACATGGGCACGAATCCTTTTAGGATATTTACTACCTCACTGATGTTTATCGATCCATGTACAAATCATTGGGATCGAAAGGAGACATCTTGAAAGGTTCCCTTGTAAGAACGACAGACATCAATGCAAAATTTCTTGCTTGAGACCCCCACTTTATTAGACACTAATCTCGATAAATACATGGTTGACCTAGACATAAGATGTTCGAGCCGATACCTGTTAGAGTTTAAGAGATGTTGTCATGAAAATAAGAGTTAAAATGGGTCTGTTGAAACGTCTTTTATTTCTCATCTCACTTAAATGTTACAAAGCTCGGGATGGTTTTATCTTGACGAGTAAACATAGCGCTACAATTTTATCGAGTTGAGTTTTGAAAATTTCTTGTTTTACATTTACAGTAAATATTTTATCTTTGAATTTCGGAAAATCTCTTGCAAGTTTTACACAGAGCTCTGTCTGATTAAAAGACTAAAACTGAAAGTAAACATTTGAGTCTTTAATACCACAGCGCTAAACTTTCTCTTCGAAATAATTATCAGCTTTGCAGCATTCATGTAAGATAAGAAATAATATCATCGACAGAAAAATAAAGTTCATGAATAGTCGTGGAGAAATGCCTTTTCATATTCAGCACATTCAATAACTCAGGAGGTTTTCTATTTTGAACAAGACATATTGCCAAAAGTATACTATTTGAACTGTAAATAAGAAGTCTACGCTTACCATCGTAACTTAATTTTCCAACTCTCGATACTCTATGCATAATATCTTGTATTTTATAATTGGATTCGGATCGTCCAACAACAAGTAATAAACGCTCAATTTCCTTCTGATTTAAATATCCATCTTGATCAGAATCTAATTTTTCAAATGTTTGACGTAATGAACGATCTGTATATCGGCCAGTAATAATCGGAGCAAGTAATTCACAAAATTGTTCAAATGAGAGGCGTCGTAAGTCTAAAAATATCAGCAAATAAATAAATAAATGTATATTAAGAATCAATTAGAGAAAAATCACGTTTAAACAATTCAATTTTTGAGAGCTGATATTTCCTCGATATATTCTATGTGTTAGAAGTAGATTACAGGTTAAATTTGGTTTTGCAAAGATATTTTGTCTTTTAAATTAACTACATGTATAAATTTTTCATCACTACACTGTTATTTCCCTGAGCTGAAAACTCAACAATTGTACACAGAAGGTATTGACTTATCAACAATTTCTTACTCTAAAAAATTTTATCTTTAAAAATTCCTAATTTTATGAGATTTTATTTTGAGTTGAAAGATTAAAATTTTTCAGTAGCCAAAAAGCAAAACAGAGTATTTGAGGCAAAAGAATGGCCTTCTTTTTCTCATTCTCTCCAAACCGATGAGGTCAATTTTAAAAACTGAGCACGACTACCAGTAACTATCAATTCTCTTAGCAAGAGTGCATTGATCAAAGATGTATATAGAAACAGTTTTATAGTCAACTAGTTAGTGAATTATTTGAATTACCAGTGAATAAAAAAATAGTCACCATTTTGACAGATAATCTATTCCTTTATGAAATCTCTTTTAGTAAAGGTTTAGGTCTATAAACTCAAATTTTGACTAATATCAGTAACATTTTATGTAAAATTTACGGACAGAATCTAAAACTATCTAAGATGAACTGTTCTATAGTCAAATATTTATACTCAATTCATAATGATATAATTTAAATGAAGTTAATATTAATAAAGTGACATACGAGGTATTTGATTTTTTGAGTTTTCAAACGTATCTTTATTTATTTCCAATCTAAAATGTTTATCACGTTGATAAATTGATGGTGATGATTGCCGTTGTTGATTTTTAAGACGATCTCCACGTTCAAACCATTCATACATAACTGAAAAAATAAAATAATAAACAATGATAAATGTTAACGTAATATAGATATCTTTATTCGTTATTACATATTATAAAATAACTACTTGAGTGGTAGTTTTTATAGTTATCACAGTCAAATGTTAGAAATAATATCTGATCAAGGTTTTATTTACCTTTAATCATTTCTCCATTAACGCGTTTCGTATATTGTGCATATTTTTTAACAATATCATCTCGTATTTTATTGTTAATAACTTGCATTATTTTCCAGTCTTGAGTAGCTAAAATAATAAAATAAATCGTTAAACTTGTGTGTTAGTTTGATATATAGACAATTACATCTGATACTTTTTAGTTTTGACTTGATCTTCTTATCTCTAGAAACATGTGGGTTACAATGTGAAGGTTATATGAGCGCGTAGGATATGGAAATTGTTGATCCCAAAGAAATGAAAAAAAAAAAAAGTCTATTGTACAGGATGCGGTCACTAGTGTTTATATTTTGAATTTTTTTTCATTTATTTTTAAAATGTCATTCAGATAACACACTGACACATATAAAGAAAAGTACACGAATTCACTTTAAAATTAAAAAAAATATTCTATTCTCAAATACAACTGAATCATTAGTTGTAGAATAACGTCTAGTAAGTGATTATTAATTAATAAATATTCTAGTGTTTATAGCATAGATGTAAAGTATAGAACATTATAACTTTTCTAGTCATTTTGTTCCTTTTTTATAATATTACAGGTTTGTATCTACAATTAAGTTCAAAAACAGTGTTTGACTTTAGAAAAGCCATTCACTCAGTCTATACTAATAGACCAATATAGTATTCTTTCCACTATCCTCTATGTCAATAGTAGGAAAAGTTCAGTTTTCGTTTGTTTAATATTATTTCATTAAAATGAATCTTTTCCCGTCATTTTGAAAACATACGGACGTATTGTCCATTTCGTTAATCATAAAAACGTATCCTGCTTATATATCGAGTAAGTTTTAAAATGAAATAAAGGAAGGTTAAATGATTCTTGAGTATTCGAATGTTTTCGAACACTAATTACTAATACGTATTATACATTATTTTAATAAAAAGTTGATCATAGTTTTTTTTTTCTATTGTGGGATTCTTTTTAATAAAAACGTTTAAAACAAATATGTTTTATCCATAAACGTTTAAAGAAAAAATGAATAAAAAAATGGCGTTTTTCTTTAAAAATTAAAAATAAAACATGTTTGTTAGAGACTCAATCTATTGAAAAATCACGTATTATGGTAAACACTTCTAAATAGGATCCATATGACGCGTAAATAATAGACTTGCATATTTGAATTACATTGTAATAAATTTTTTAGCACATACTTGTTTTTATAGGAAAGTTATGAATGAGTATAACCTTGATTAAAATAAATAAAACTTGATCAAGAAAATCCCAATTCAACAAAGTTGAAAAGTTTTTTGTTCTATTAAGACTCATAGACATAACGTACATTAGACTCTATATATAACGGGAAACCTTAATAAATAATATAAAAATCTTTTTTTTTTTCATTACCAACTGTACTGCTACTTTGTATTATACTTGGTGGATGATGATACTGCATAATTATAATAGAATAATAATGTTTGAATAGTTTATTTTCTTGAACTAACCATATTAGTTTACTCGTAAACAGATTAATATGATAAACATTTAGTCGCAACCGCCAATATGGTACTAGTGCTCAAATCTGTATGTTTGTAGTTGGATGTTATTGCTGATAATATATCGCGAAAAAAAAAAAATAAATGAAAGTATGCGTGTAATTTTGTTCTTAAAATCAAACGAGACGAAGAAAGAACAGAACAAAAAAAAAATTTTTGGAATTCAAGAAACCAAATAAGTGTCGTTTTTCTATGCACCATGTATATACACATGATTTTCGAGTTTTTTTTTTTTTTTTCTTCTTCTTCCTTATCTTATTTCTCTTTCTCTATATACATACTCTTATATATTGCATCATAGTTTGAAGTGTGTGCGAAAATATTTTCTTTTTTTTTTAACTTTTTCGATCTTCTTTTCTTTTTTTTTCTTTTTTGATATTCTGCCATACTTAAAAAAGAAAGAAAGAAATCGTTTGAGAAACAGGTAAACGTAAAAATCATCAAGTATGTAGTGTAAAGTGTTTATACATCAGTCAATGATAATCGTTGTATCCATTTTTACACTATTGACATGATCGAGTTATAATGCCAATATATTCGATCTGCGCGTATGCGCATGTAATTGTACACCTTTTTCTTTGTTTTAACAAAAAAAAAAAAAATGGGAAAAATATATAAATATTTTTCTTATTATAAGAAAGAAACTTTAATATAGCATAAAGAACGAAAGTAAGACGCACACAGTAAACTAAAAGTGAGCAAAGAAGATATATAAGCACACTGCCAACAACATAAAATGCCAAAGCATATCTCTTGTTTTCGAACAGGTAAACTGTTGCTTTTATGCTGAGCAAGTGTATTAGAAAGATTTTCAAGGTACATAAACAACAAAAAAAGAAACTATTCTTTCTTTTTGTGACTTGATGTCCAGATTTAAAATAAGGTAGTCTACAATAGAACAATTTGATAGCATTATAACAGCTTGCAAACGAATCATTCTTCCATTGGCGTTTTCTAACACAGTGATTTTTAGTGTTATCTTTAAAAAATTTGTCTATGTTAGTTGTTCAAAATTCTAATTTCATCATATTTACTGAAAAATGAATAAAAATACTTTCTATCTCAAAGTTTTTATAAACAAAAACATTATCATAATTTCAAAGAATAATTTTGACTCTTGTATTGCACATATTGTATGATCCGTGAGTTTTTTGTTACTAATGTTTTCATAAAATGACTCTGTTTTGCTATATCTAGAAGACACTGATGTTTTATTTTTAGATATTGGTGATTATTGTCAAAAAATTCAGTACTGTTCTTCGAGAATGCATAAAAGCAGAAAGATAATAACAATCGCTTGACTGATTCAGGGTTATTGATCTGTCAAATAAGATTTAATCAAAAAAGAATATCCTATATAACACTCAAAAATAAACGCTGTAGAACATATTTGATTAATGAAAACTTATGTAAGCGAGTAAAAATTTTGTTTTTACATGCACATATGCATCACATCTTTTTTTTGAATTTTTTAAGCTTACATATACATTTTTTCAGTTTGAAACTCATCATGTCTTTTATTTTCTTGGAGGGTATAGACATTTATTACTCTGAATTTCTTTTCATCTTTCTCAGAATAGAAAAAAAGGTAATTAAATAAACCGAATAGTGTTCGGTTGATTGAAAAAAATCTTCCGGTGTTATTTTGGCTCTCATCTTTCCATGCCCCTTAGTGGTAAAGTGTCGAATCGTGCATCGTTTTGAAAAGGATATTCTGTTGTTTTCGAACAACCACAGCGTTAAACAAGAAAAAAATGACAAAAAAAAACTTTTAGATAAAGCAATGACAATATTGCAAATTATGAATTGAGAGCGTAGGAGAATGTTATCAACTATTTTTATTACACTAATGCACACACTCATAAATTGTATGTAATGTAATTTTAAGAAACCATAAAACTGGCTGTTCAAGAATTGTTCCAAGGTTATTGTTTTCATTTATACACAATGAAGGTTAACAGGGGTAAAGGACGATGTAACTTTCTTTTTATGTATTTCAAAAACCTTGAATTCTGTTCAACATAGGAAAAAAAAAACAAATATTATAAAATAAAACAAATTATCAGTATAAGAAGGAAATCATATGCATGCAATATCTAAATTTATCAGTAACATTTGGTGCTTGTTATATTGATATAAGTGAAATTTGTGTATGTGTTCTTTATCTTTACAATCTAATAGGTAGATGTATCTATAATTATAAATGTTAATGATGTTTAAAAACTTTTAACAAATATACATATGATTTATCTGAACTGCATCGATAGTGTCTGATGTGTAGCACCATTGTACGAGAGATATTGTGTAGTCACAGTGCTATACCATTCTTCTTCATTCTCTTTTTGCTCTCTATATACATCACATTTCAATAATAAGTGTGCATCAGTGCACGCATTATTGTCCATATAATTTTCATTAAGAAAGAACAAAAAGAATTTTTTTTGCTCAGGACTTTTGCCTTAGCTAGGACATGCATGGAATAATTTTCTTTTGTGTTTTCTTCAATTTTATTACTACAGTGAGTGTTAGTATGTGAGCGTGTAGACTCTATCTCTCGTCTCTATTGATATCATCCTATGTAGAACAGATTCATACAACTGATATGATGCGTGTATGTCTCTGAATAATATGAATTTCGTTTATTCCGTCTCTAATTCACATTTTGAACAGAAACGATGGACCATAGAAACTATCACTGTCAATAAAAAATCTTAATTTATTTAACGCAAATGAACAGCATCAATTATCGATTGTCTATGCTTTTCGTAACATACAATTCTATCAATCATAACGTAACTCTCATAGGAATAATCCAGAATATAGTGGAGAACTATGTCTTTACTATAATTCTATAGATGCTCCAAATTGCAGATGTTAGAGGAACATTCGGTGTGATCAACATATTTGTCAGCAGAAAATAATAGAGTAGGTTCTACTAAAACGATCTTTGTTAATAGGAGAAAAAATGCAAAAATAACTTGAAAACTTCAATCAGACGGTTACAGAAACCTAGTGAAAATACTGTATGTACAAAAAGCAGGCCCTGTGGCCTAACGGATAAGGCGTCTGACTTCGAATCAGAAGATTGCAGGTTCGAATCCTGCCAGGGTCGAATATACCTTTCTTTTTGTTTTTTTCATATTGATATGTAACCGGGGAGAGTGAAAGAGCTTTTTGTTCAAGTGAAATAAAGAAAAATTTACCGAAGACCGAAAAAATAAATGATGCAGTTACTGTTTACTTTCAGCATCGATTTATATGGCAGTTATTTTGATTACAGTAATATTTAATTCTACATCTCGTTTAGGTGAAACATGGCTAAAAGTACATTTGTCAGGGCATTTTCAAAGCTAATCCACATCAACACATCTGTTATTATATTATTTAAAAAAACCCTCTTTTTATTTTGATATTTATATATTAATAGACATTCACTCAAGATTATTGGTATTATACACTTGTAGAGTTGTGAAAGGATAAGTATTCTATTTCGAATAATAGAAAAGAGAATTTATCGACTTAACTATGTATAGCTAACACTTTATTTAATGACTTTTTATCTATTCATATCGAAGTAAAGCAAACAAAACATTTTTTTTTTTTGTATTTGCATCCATTTTCTATTGATAAGCATAAATGCAATGTATTATGTATTCCTCTCAAGTGCTCTGTTGACCTGTTCATTTAAGTTTTTCTGTAATGTAAACAATATTTATTACCACACCAAAAAAAGGATTTACTGAATATTCTCTCCACAAACTTACTTTCTGTTGATTATTTTTTATTTTAATTAGCCTTTTTCTTACAGAAAAGAAAAAATATATTTCTTTGTTGCTATAACAGATTTACTTTTCAATAATTAGATAAAAAGAATGTATATTAATTAAGCAGTTTGATATAGAGGGATTTAATTTCCATTGATATACAATCTTACGTAATATAATGCCATAAACAATTACTTATTTGAAAGTTCGTTATTCAAGAATGAAAAAAACATGTAAATTCAATACATCCAAATATTTGTTTTTATCGATTTACTGCAGAAAGAAGGATCGTTCGCTTTATTAATACGATTATAGGATGATATGGGTACACAAACTCGAAAACACCGAAAAAATATGATAATAACAGATAAATGTTTAATAAAACTGTAGCAACAGTATGATGATAATCATATTGATATTCCAACTTCCCTAAAGACTGCTGGTATGAGATACTTTCAATATGTTTTCAAACGCTGAGCATTTTCGTATTTTTGGTCACTTTTGGTTCTGCTGAATAGAAAAGCGTTTCTAATTGTGGGTAAATAATCAAGGGTATGTAGTTTTTTTATCACTAAATTTCTTTCTATTGAAATGATTACCAAAAAATAACACTTTTGATCACCAAATCAATTAAAGAATATTTAAATTAAAGAAAATATATATAAGAAGAATATATAGCAATTTATTGGCAATGATTACCAATTAATGAGTAGACAGACAAGAAAAAGAATATAAAGAAAGTATATACAAGAAGAAATATGAGTAGAACAGAATTTTAATTTCAATGGTTGAAGTTTTTAGAAATTTTACCGTTAATGTTATATTTTTGAACCAAAAACGACATTTTTGCAGTTAAGCATGAAGAACAATAGATTTCGAATGTTTATTTTCGGGAACAAGAGTAAAAAGTTCGAATCTTTCGAAAACTTTTTAAAAAAATATCCGCCTAGAAGAGTGGTGAGAGTAGATATGCACCAGTTTTTAACTGGTATTGAGGCATCCGGGAGAATTGCTATACATCAGTTATCACGATTCGCTCAGAGCTGTACAACATTTTATTTTGTAGAAAAATGTTTGCCGTACAAAATTAATTTGTTAAAAAAAAGATTCCAAAATCATTCCTAAGAAAACTTAGA